GTAGGAACCTGAAGACGGAGATAGAGTCCCATCTCCGAAACGTCGTTTTACGTTTTATATTTACTAGACGATGGATAATATCCAAGAAAAATTTTATTCAATTTACCAATATTAAATAAAGAATCTCGTAATCACGGTATTTATTACTCAGACCTTCCCTCACGTTAGTGCGTAATTTTCATTCGAGTCTTATTTCAATCTGAAACTCTGGAATGGTTAACAGTGACAGAATATAACAACTTTTACATAAGAGCCTTTCCCAGATTCATTTTAAACCTCGAAATACCGCTTCTCAGGATTCTTATATCATGCCATATCTGCTCCGAGGGTCAGAGAGGTCAACATGGGCTGAAATTTTTAGAATTTCACCCGACCAGAAGTTTTATCTTCAAATATGTTACCCGCATCCCACCCACGTCATTTCATTCCAGCCCGATGTACTGAAAACCTGCTCAGACTATCGTGTGAATAATAATTTTATTTTAACGACACTCTAATAACATCCTAGGTTATCGTTGCGTTTGAGTGGCGAATTGTAAGATTTGTAGAGATAAAAAAAATACAACCATCTATTATCCTTAAGCGGGATTATAAATTCAAACCTTGATGTCTGATATACCGAAGACCCTGCCCTCCTTAAAGCTCACGGACTCCGGGGTCGGCAGGTAATGTTACCCACGGTAAAATTAGCAGAATTGCGATGATTTTTACAGTGGCAAAAGAGGCCGACCTTGGACTCACAGAAACCTTCCTTTCCTTAGCGCGTCTACAGTTTTTAAACAATAAATTGGTAAGGATGTGAAAGGAAGCGACGGTGACTAATTTTAAGTCACAACCCTTTGTACTCCTCGCCAAATATAATTAGACTTATCAAATCACGGAGGATGAGATGGGCATGGCGAGAATAGTAATGCATACAGAGTTTTGGTTGACAAACCAGAAAGAAAGAGACCACTAGGAAGACCTAGACGTAGCTGGAAGGACAATATTAAAACGAATCTTAGAGAAATATGATGGGGTGTTATAGATTGGATTCATCTGGCTCAGGATAGAGACCTGTGGAGGGCTGTTGTGAACACAATAACGAGCCTTCGAGTTAGATAAAATGGGAATTTATTGAGTGGCTGAGGGACTGTTGGTTTCTTAGGAAGGACTCGGTTCCATGGAATGAGTAACTAACCCTGCATTACCCTCGGTCGGAGTAACCCCAGTCATCGGGGCCAGGAATCAAACCACTGACCACCGACATCAAGAAAGCGTAGTAGGAGAGCTAATCACTTAACCGCAACGATAAGCTACAGGTTAAGGATTTTTTGAGTCGTAGAATACGTCGGGTAATATGTATGAACTGATGTAAAGCCCCAATCTCTCAAACTTGTGACAGACTGAAATAAACATATACGCCATTCTTAAGTAATGGAGCTTCTAAACACTGACGATTACAAAACGAATCATTAGTCTAGACGATTTATTCAGTTTCCGCAGAGTACTCTCGACTAACCCGTTCGCATCGATGAATAATCGCCTCGACTTCTCTTATGTGAGAGGAAGTCGTAATTCTGCAACCCCGCAGACTTCCAGATCATCAACCTCTTTCCGTGGATTTCCATTTGTTGACCCAACTCCAAATCTTCTCGTTGGAAAATATCCAATATTCCATGATCACAGGAAACAATGCGGTATTCAAAATATATCAAATGATGTCTTACTTCAAATTTCGATAAAGCAGTTTTCGTCGCCGGTTAGGTACATCCCATTACGGGCAATATTCCTCAAACAAGGAGTTCTAGGAAGACTCATTTTCCTTCAAACATATTTTTGTGTATGACCTCAGTACCTGCTGTCCTCCCCGAAACAAACATTTTGTTGTAATAAAGTGAAGTTCTCGCGGAGAATGAAGTTGATAAAAGATTCCCGGGTTACAAGTCAGGTGGCTGAACGGTGAATAGACCATTTCTTCTGACAGCGTTTCGACAATAATCTCTGCTCTCATCCTCAGGGCTGCTGGGTAACAAATCTAATCCCTTGTTACGCGCTCGCTGATGCATTTTGTTCTCTGTATGGAAACGATCTTCACAGGGAATCGAAACCTGAACAGTTTTTCAGGTTTGCGACCTTTGTTTCTATAATCTCTTCTCGGAAACAAAAAATCTACTCTCGCAAGATCATAAGGTCATCATTGCACTAATATAGGGCTTTCAGCGGTATACTAGTAACTCGATAAAAATCACTTAAACATCTGTAGATTCTGAAAACATCTAGTCTCAATTACATGGGTCAATTTGTAAATATTTAAAAATTAATATCTTTTGGACCTAACAAAAACAAATCCATTAAATGCTGGCAAATTTTAGACTTACTGATCTATAAAGCAGATGGTACACATAATTATCACTAGATTTATATAAAAGTAGACAGCATGTATCCTGAGTTGGATGACAGCCACAACTGATGATAACGTAGTTTATGTTATCCTTACACAAACATCATAATTATCATCCATAAATAAATCTAGTATTCGCATATAAGTCTAGACTCTGCCTCGTCTGTCTAATGCAGTTTGGACAAGTTTACTCCTTCGGAAAAGGTAGCCAGGTGTTGTGGCAGCTATTTGGTGTTGAAGCCACGCACTAAACACGTGTATGGTTAGAAGTCTTCTTCCTTTAGAACCATCTAGTGCACCAACGGCTTTATTTACAAATATTAATTCATTATGGCGAAAAATCTTAATTCTTTACACTGAAAACGTCACCGAAGTTACCTAGAAGCAGTGACTCAGGTGCCGGGAACGATGCAGACTTCTGACAGGAAACTTCTTCATCGTCTCATAAATAGACGTGCACCAAAAGGTGCGCAATTGTTTTTGGTTGCGTG